TGCAAAACAAGGCTGTAGCTCTAAGGAGAAGCTAGCTAGCTAGCTATCTATCTATCTATCTATCTATCTATCTATCTATCTATCTATCTATCTATCTATCTATCTATCTATCTATCTATCTATCTATCTATCTATCTATCTATCTATCTATCTATCTAGAACAGTTCTAGTTACTCAAGCAATTATGAAACTATGGCTTCTCCTGTTTTTAGTTGAACATTAATTGCATTTGCCTTGTTTCAGAAGCAAACCACTTCTTATTTTCTTCCCTTCTTTTTTTTCTTCCCCACACTTAAGACCTTCTCATTAACCGAGATCCTTAATCCCCAGGCTATAATCACCCCAAACTCACTTGACTGATCTACAACTGTTAACACAAAGCTATTGCTAAGTATGTGGGATCTTTATTGCAGTGCTTAAAGGCAATGCTGCATTTATATTCCTCAAACATTCTGATTGTTCAAATCCCTTAAGATTTAAACATTGAGCTTCCACAATTTATCCAGCCCATAGTTCTTAAATCATGCTTTTTTTTGTTGTTGTTGTTGTTGTTGTTGTATTTTCAGCTTTGATGTGCAATCAATTTTTCTGATCACACTTTAGTTTGGGGAACAACTCAGACTTCTCTTTTAACTAAGACTTTTTCCTTCATAGTTAGTAAGGTAGTTGTTGTAGTGGCTAAGTTTAGGTATTGGGTATAAGGGATGTAGAATAAGCCATTAATACATAGCCTATGATAGCCAATTTGTTAGTAATATAAGAAACTAATTAAAGGGTTAGTTCACTCAAACATTATTTCATTAATTCCTCATGCTGTTCCAAACCTGTTAGACTTTCTTTCATCTTTGGAAAACATTTCTTTTTAATGAAAAATAGCTTTCTGTACTCTCCATAGTCAGCTATATGCAACTACCACTTTGAGGCTTCAAAAAGTTCATAAAGAGAGTTTAAGTCCAAATTTTAGGAATAGAATCAATCATGTTATATGATGAACAGATTAAATGTTAGCTTTTATTCATATAGAACAATGCTGCAATGTTGTAAAACAGAAGCTCAACCGAACCTGATTGACACGTGAGAACAAACCTCATTGACTCTTCAGAAAATGAACTGTTTGAACTTGGACTCATTTCACATGGATTCATTTTACTATCTCTTTGAGAACTTTTTTTTTTTTTTTGCGTCAAAGTGGTAGTTGCATAGCCATTAATGGAGAGACAGAAATAGCTCAGATTTCATTAAAAATATCCTCATTTGAGCTTGGAAGATGAACAAAACATTCTTACAAGTTTGGAACGACATGAGTGAATGACAGAATTTTCATTTTCATGTGAACTAACCCTGTAATAGTAAGAAATTGGTTCCATTGTTCTCAGGATAGAATGTTCTGTCGTTCAAAATGTAACTGGTACTCATGGTGTCATCATAATATTTACAAACTAAATTGGTCTGCTTTTTTAACAAAGTTTGAGGTTGATTTTTATATATAAACTCTTTTAAAGATGTAAAAAAATAGGATACAAAATATTTACATTTGTTTTTATCTTTTACAATTTAACTTATTCCTGTGATAACAGCTGCATTTTCAACATCATTATTCAAGTCTTCAGTGTCACATGATCCTTCAGAAAGCACTAATATTCTGATATGGTTCTCAAGAAACATTTCTTCTTCTTAATTAGGATAACCAATGTTTAAAACAGTTTTAAAGAAAGTATTATCACAACTTCTGTTTTATGCCAACTTTAAACTCTAAGGCATATCTAAAAACTGGTTTATTAATTTGATCTTTTTCCATTATGGCATTTCAGGAAATGCAAATCTAGTCAACTGATAATGTAGCAGGACTGGAACAACACTTTCAAGTTTTAAATTGTCAGCTCCTTGAGATTGAATCCAACCGTAACCCACTACCTGAGTAAAATGTGATTTTCTCTCACATGTGCGACACACGATAGAGTGTGGCCTTGACCGCTCTGCCATCTTGTCTACAACACTTCAGAAAGTCAAAGGTCACTTATATTAACTTAGTTTGGATTATGAAAACAATATTAGATGTATTAACCTTCCAGGACCCTGAATACTTATACGTGCCTATGAAGTGCATGCATTATTCAAAGACTAGAGGCAAATGCAGTACAGTCTACACTTTACCCTCTATCTGTTCTAATTGGACATGACAGATTAAGGTTTTCAAAGACAAATGGCCTTTCCCTGCCCCTTCGGAATAAGCTTATCAACCCTAACACACACACACACAAACACCACACATTGACATGATGTGTGAGACAATGTGACCGTAATGTTTTGTGCGGTAAAAGCACCGAATGTTCTAGAAAGGGATTACAGTCCCTGCTTATGAGTTATAAGTTATGCATATTCAGTGCTAAAGGGAATCAAACCACATCTGACTGTTGCTTTTAGTGTGTTACAGTTTGGACTTGTTCTAGTGGAATAAATGTTTTTAAGTGGGCATGCTGTTACTTGTGTATTTTATAAATATAAAACTGTGTGCACAAAGTTTCCCACATGATCAAAACCTGCATGATCAGGCATAATAGTAGAATTGTGCAAATTTAAAATATTTGAACAATTTTAAAGTAATATAGGTTGTATTATTCAGGATGTAAAAAATGATAATTTGTATATACACCACCATTCAAAAGTTTAGAATCAGTAAGATTTTTGTTTAAAGAAATTAATACATTTATTTATACGAATTTTACGAAGTGGATAATTTTTTTTACGATTTTTGCTATATCTTACATATTTTCCAGGTGGCCCAATTCATATGCATTTGTACGAATGACCTACCCCTGACCCCGCCCCTAAATCTACCCATCACGTGGGTTTAGACAAATCATACCAATTAGCCACCTTTTAATCACTTGTAAAAATTGGTCGTGTTGAATCAGCATATCAGCATATAATAATTTCTGAAGGACAGTGAGACTGAAGACTGAAGTAATGATGCTGAAAGTTCAGCTTAATGAATAAATTACATTTAAAATATAAATTTGATTTAAATTGTAAAAATATTTCACCATTTTTGATCAAGTAAATGCAGCTATGGTGAGCTTTATTAAAAATCAAAGCAAACTAAATAAATTCATAATAATAATCTTACCAACCCAAACATTTTGAACAGTAGTGTAAGATTTTTGTTGATCTAAAACGTGACTGCTTCATGATGACACAAGCAGTAGAAAGGCAAACTGTCATAATCATTGATTAATGCCACTCAGATGTCAGGTCATTACTTTACCCAAAACCACAGCCAGTTCCTGGAGAACCACAGAGCACCTACCATGTAATTATCTAAATAAGACCAAGCCCACAGTGCAATGCTCATATACGCACATCTGGTTAAATACATTAATGCTTTGTTCCCAGACAATTTGCAGCCATGATTTTTTTTTACTATTAACTGTGACCGTGAATTTCCCTAGCATCTGTAGAAAATGCAGACCTGTGCTAATGAAGAGTTTTCCCGGTTTCACAGAAAAGGCTTAAAGGAGTAGTTCTGTGATGCACGTTCTTGACTCTCCTGTTCAAACTCGTTCATGAAAATGAAGTAATCGTCATTTTACCGTTTGGAGACAAGTAAAGTGCATTATATGGAGAAAAATCCTGGAATGTTTTCATCAAAAACCTTAATTTCTTTTCGACTGAAGAAAGAAAGACTTGGACATCTTGGATGAAATGGGAGTGAGTGAATTATCAGCAATTTTTTTTATTTTATTTTTTTAAAGTGAAATACTCCTTTAAGCCAAGTTCCAAATTAAAATGCATGTTTGAGCTGTTTTAACTGAAAGCTACCGTCATATCTGACAATGCACTGACATATCTTAAAATGTCGAAATATGCCATTGATTTGTCTCAAAGTGCACAGATTTTTTTTCTAAAGGTATGTTTACAAAATCTACTTAAATGTCCTAATTGAACTAAGGCCTAATCCTAGCTTAATCTAAACCCTGTCTGTGAAACCAGGACTTCCTGTTATTATTCTCATGAAATAATAACAACCACTGTTTAGTAATGACCTCTAACAAAGTATTAGAGTATTAACTAATATAACCAAACTATATTGCAAAAATTTGATTTTCAACAAAGCAAGCGTTTTGATAGCAGAACCACTGTGTTCACATTTGTCAGGGAATAAATCCATGAATGTCTAGGTCTCTCTGATTTGAGATGGGTTAGAAGAAACTATTTTAACAGAAAAAAAACCCCCACTTCACATCACTATAAGACTCCAATGTACGGGGATCTGACGATGATCTGAACTGACACATACATTTCAAGATGTAAACCTTCAAGAGATGATGAAGAACACCCTTTACAAGCATTCTTTAACATCTCTCAGGAGTCTCATGAAGATAAACTTGGTGATTTCCATTTCTGTGTGCTGTTTAACAACATCAAGGCACTTTCACATGACACACACACAAAAAATGCAGATTTTCATCCCCTCTGTCAGAACGCACACAACAGCTTTTCTTTTAAAGATGATCTCAAAGCCTCCTTACAGTAGGTGGCTTGTTAAATTGGTTTGACAAATGTGAGGAATCTGTGATCAAAGTATGAAAACAAGTAGCAAAAATATTACATCAAAAATAATAGTCTGACAAAATGACAGCCGAAAAGGTCATCTAAGTCAGAAGTCATAAAAATAATGCAGCATGTCTTGTTTACTCAGCTCCTTTTTCCATGAATTCAAAACTGAATTTGTGATGATTTGTGAATAAATCACATTGTCTTCATTTTACACCAATGTCATGGTTTGTTATATTGTTTCAGCATTCACGTAATCTACTCCATGCAGTTGTGGTCATTCCACCTACCTTTTAAATCTAATTACACTCCCAATGGCTAAAGACAGATTGCAGTAAATAGTTCAAAGTTATAGGTTCCCTGGCAGTGCTTTGCAATTCTGTGACAACTGCAGATTGCTTGAACAAACCAATGCTTTACGTGCCATTTGGAAAAACCCACAACAATTTTAGTTAACCGTTTAATGGTAGTGGAATATGTTACTGGCAGTTCTATGTCCCTTTAACTTCTAAAAAGTCTATTTACATGAACATCTAATAGTTCTCAGAATATTTTGTCTCCAGTCAAAATAACGATCTTAATATAAAACAACAACACAAATGTATGAATATCTCTACAAAAGGGTGACTAACACTGAAAATACTACAGCGATTATGAAAGGGGAAAAAATATTCTTACATGCCAAAATTTTCATACCAAAAACAATAATGACATAGAAAAAGTTGACAAAGGACAATTTGAAATGTATTTACACAAGATTCACTTTTGTATTTTAGTGTTCTCTCTTGAATGAAGTCATTCTCATAAGAGTCTATAATGAGCTCTGGTTTAAAAAAAAGATGGACATCGTTATCTTTCCTGGAATATTTTGTAAGAATAATTAATGAAAATGTCTAATTTCATTTCACAGATGAGTATAGGCGACGAAATGCTGGCTTAATGACAGTTTAGTCAATTTCTTTGGGATGCTATTGAGGAGAATGTTCATGTCACCTCAAAAAATGTCCTTGGATCACTGAAAGTGGATGCATAGTCAAGGTCCTTTGAAATTTAATTATTTAATTTATGTAAAAGAACATGCCAAATCCACATGTTCCCCCAAGTAATAGCAAGGCTTTCTAGTTATCCTTGAATACCTCATTTTCTGAACCTGCAACAAATCACAATTTACCTCTCACCAATGTATACGCACATTGCTCACAAACCTCCACACACAGACAAGCAAGACCGTGTCCAATTTTCCTCCAAATCCTCCACGCTCTCTTCTTCATGGGTCAATTCTTTATGGATTTGTGAGCCCAAAACCAGTGGAACTGAAGGCTTAGATAAGTCAAGATTAAAAGATATCCAGCGCTGGGTTTCATTAGTTTGCAACGTCAGGGTAAAAACTCGAGCTCATTTATGCACAAAACAAGACATATTCCCTGGGTGAGTCAGTGGGGGGCCAGTGTAGCTCTCTCTTGCTGGGACCGCTTTAGTCAGAGTCATTTTTACACACACAGCTACACTCCTCATGGTGCTCCAGGGGGACATCCGTTAGAGTCTTTTGGAGTCCCCGACTCCCTGCCCTGTGTTTCAGCATCAGAACCTACACAAAAACAGACAAACATAGATAGAGACGGCAATACACAAACACACGAAATGATTCAAGCACTTAAACATATAAGAACTTTACCATTTACACCCAATGGGTCTCATTTACCAACCATGTCCAAATCATGATTTACACGTACATTATCTCTAAACTCAAGTCTAATTTTGGAACCAACTCAAATTAAAATGTGCCACAAGCGTGTATATTAATATATACAATGCAACTGAATCATGCTGTTCAGCCCAGTTTCTGAAGGGAGAGTTCTGCTTCAGAAATGTCACAGTACATGTTGGAATCCATGTTTCCCTCAATGAAGCTCAGCTCCCCAGTGCCAGTGGCACTCATGCAGCGCCAGACCATGATGCTACCACCACCATGCTCGACTGTAGGCAAGGCACAACTTTCTTGGTACTCCTCACCAGGGCGTCTCATCAGACCATAGGAGATGGTTCCAGTAATTCATGCCAGGT